ACTTCAGTTTTGACTTTCACTTCTTAACTCTCACAAACTCCTGGGATGTGTCATAGGAAGTGTCTGATTTTTCTCAGGTTTACACTTAAAGTAGCTGTTCTGTCTCAGCCCTTCACACTACACTTTCATACACTTTGTTACAGGATAAGCATAGTTTGGGCCTTAGATCTGCAGTGTTACACCTTCAGAGCATGTTTTGGGATGGGCAATTAACTGGAAACATAAGGAATTTAAATCTTGTGACTGTTCAATATTTTCTCCTGCGAGGCTGTTTAAAAGTGTATTTCTGTACTGAGTAATAACTGTGAAAAACAGTTGGTAAATATTGAGCCTTCATTAGTGGGAAGTACAAAAAAATGATCATCAGAATAATGCATTTGAGAGAGTAATCCTGGCTCCAGTAATTGCAGTGCAGGAGCCTTATTGTCTGGTTTCATTAACTAAGTAAACAACTTGTAGTGTAGGTTTATTACATGTAGACTCTCTACTGTAACATCAGTTTTTCTGGTCATTTTACCTTTTAGCTTGAGGGGGAAAGAGATACAGATAGACAAACCTTCTTCTTGTACACATTTAGTATTCTGAGTCCTCTGCCCTGTACCCACAAGGCTAAAAAAGTTTCTAATTTCTTCCTTACTAAATAAGTGAAAGAAAAAGGAACTAATCAGCTCGGTAACTCTACAATAAAAATGCAAAATGAGTTTTGATGACAGATATTAGATTTTACTAACCTTTGGACTCACCAGTACGTGTTTATATACAGGAGATTGAAAGACTGAAGAGTGAAAAGCCAACATGGGAGAGGAGACTCCGCTGGGAAGGGATGAAATCAGTTTTTGGGGGTCAGCCTTCACTCCTGTGGATCAATCCCTTTGCAGGATTTCGGATCAGGCGACTTCTACTGCGAGGAAAGAAAGGAGGACCTGAGTTTTCTGTTTGAGCCTAAATATGCTGGAACTTGCAAGAATTCTATATAATATTTATTTTGGGGCCAGAGAAGGCTGTCTACATATAATCTGTGACCAGGTGAAACTGATATCAGACATTTGCTTGTAGCAAGCAGAGTTTTCTACGTTTATTGTCACAGACATCTCATTAATTCAGAGACAGGAACTGGATCTGCAATGGTCTGAACAGCAAGATACCAGAGGAAAAGCACGTGGTCACACTAAAGAAGCCAAATGTTGTCATGCTACTGTAATTTATTTTATGAGATTACTTACCCATTTTTTGTTAAACCCTTTTTATTTGATAAATGTTTGGGGAATTACCTGTGTGTTTTTATAAGAAGTATATCCTTAGGTGCAGTTGTCAATCAGAGGGAGGAGCATTAGGGTGGAAGTTGATCTCCAATGAGACTTAGCCTTCTAAATCCAGATTTCAGGGAATAGTGCTTTGTTCAGTTCTCATTTTTTCAGTTTGTCCTAATAAACAGAGCTGTACTCCTGTGTCCCGCTCCAGGCACACATTCCTCATATGCAAGTGACTCCAGGGGCTGGTGCCCGGCCCAGCACTGCACAGCACAGGCACTGTCACCCCCTGCCCAATGTCTTCCCAGGCTCACTGAAGCACGGCTGTGGTTGGCACTGTTCATCTCCTCTGGCATTTTGGGAAATGCTAAATCTTCCCTGAACAACTCCTGGCTGTGGGCCAAACCCTGCCCAAATCCTTAATGCATTGATTCCAGGGGAACTGGATGTGGATAGTTCGTGTCTTAGGCCTGTGCAGGGATGAGTGGGACCAGTGACTGTATCCTGCTGTGTGAGATTGAAAGAATGTACTGCAGATGGAGGGAATTCACTGAAAACAGCTGTCTTTGTATGGTCTTGCTCTGCCCCTTTTTTATTGTACAGACTTCTAGAAGGAAAGCTGTTAATGATCCCTTAGACAAAGACATCAGGGGAATGAGGGAAGTTGCCTCTTTCTCAAGTTCAGCACATCTTAAATGTAGAAACGTCTGCTGCAATAGAACAAATTATTTTGAATTTAACCATTTCCAACCAAAACTACTCTGAGGAAATGAGAGCAATATAGATCTAGAACTGCTTTATGTGGGCCTGACAAACAACAGTAGTGCTAAGAAATGTTCATAAATCTGCAAGTAATGAAATACAAGCTGCAAGTAATGAAATTCAGATAAAAGTGGATTCTTTAAAAATTGCATTTAGACTATTTTTTTGTATTACTGTTAATCTATAAATCACTGACAATATAAAGGATAAAGCAGGAGCCTTGATGCATAGCTTGAAATCGTGCCTAGAAAGTAAATAGCTCCCTGTTTTGGGACTTGCCTTAAAATTGTCCTGTTCTTGCTTTTGCTCAGCCAGTAGCACTGATGACCTGTCCCACCTCCAGCAGTTCCACGTGCTGCAGAATCTTGCATTACAATGTTTATGCACTGCACAAGCTGTACTTTCTTTTTTCAGTGAGCTGCTTCTCCATCTCTTTGTAACAGTTTGTGGCATCTTGATTCAGCTTCATCAGGTTTTGTACTACTGGGTGGGTGAAATTCCTGAGGGATCCATGGATTATCTACGGCCCTGTGAACAAAACTGTGCAATACTGTGGAATATGTTCACTTTGCTGGGGGGGATGGATGGTGTGTGATGCTGGAGAATTCCTAGGTGGAAATCCACTGAAATTGCAGTCAAACGAACAAAAGTGTCTCGTGTAGCTGAGGGGAAAGCTGGAAGTGCCACAAAAATTTGTGCATATTCAGTTGCACACCTTAAAAGTTTGGGGAAAAAAAATGTGTCTGGCTTTATCATGAGGCTCTTAATGTGTATATTGTTTAATGATGGAAATCAGAAAATATCACTCCAAGCAGTTAAACCCTGTGACTTAGCAAGTGTGTGTGTGTGTGTGAAATCCGGGTTACTTGGCTTTTCAAACCCTTCTGTTGTAATTTTTTTAATGTAAAAAAAAAATAAACTAATTAATTGAAGTCTTAGTTGATTAACTTCTCTATATGTCACTTTTTTTGCACATCTATGTTCATATTCCCATGTATTTAGGCTGAACAACTTCAGGGTAATTGTCTTGCATCTTTTGGCTTGTAATTTGTATTTATTTATATCAAGTGACAGGTGATATTCCTCCAAATTAAAGATGCTCCTCTGCTTATTAAGGGGATTAACCTGCACTACCCTGCTTAGCTCTTGGGCATTTCCTTTCCTGCATCCTTGTTATAGAACCATGGAATTGTTTGGGTTGGAAGGGACCTTAAAGATCGTCTTGTTCCATCCCTGTTTGTCTGAGGAGAGTGGGAAAACATGGGAAAACTTAGCATGGTATTTCAGGCTTTGCACTTCCAAGGTATTTGTGTAAAATACAGGTTTGGATTCCCCAGTTTCTCTGTGCAAATGTTGGCTTTTTCCTCTGGTTCTGCAGCTTCAGGTGCAGGTTAGAGACGAGGAGCTCACAAGTGTCCACCCCATAAAGGTGAGAGGAACAAGGTTTCCAACAGTGAAGGATGGAGAGACTGGAAACAGTTTATTTCCCATGTGCTATAATTCTAAAAAATACTTGGATATGTTTTCTGGGTCTAATATCACACTTTTCTACACTGCTGTTTCTATAGAGAAAATAGCTCCAAAGACAGGAACACAGACTTTGTGCCAGTGCTGCTTGTGTTTATAAGCAGGTTAATGATTTGATGATGTTTGTGTGCCACAACAGTTGGGCTGGGCTGTGTTTACATATATTTTAGGGAAGAGCTTGTTTACTCTCCAAAGGGAACAGACGTCTCTGCAGATGGATCCTGACAATTTATCTCCTTTTTATTTTCTTGTTTAATTTCCAGTAGTAACGTCAATATTGTTTCATGAACCCTGGGCAAGCAGCAATTCATTTATAGGCTATTTTATGCCCTCCTGTGCACAAATGTTGTGTTTCTACAATTGTTCTCACTTCTTTCTGTTGGTACCATGGTCATATGTGAATGTATTTAATGCTACTGGAGAAGGAAAGTGGCTTAAGGGGTTTTGAAATACAGAAACTGGACTGTAAAATGATGGTGGAATATGTTAATAACACTAAAAGAAAGTGCACCAGCACTGGTTCTGTATATTTTTTCAAGTGTTACTCTTCTGAACAGAGTTACAGGTCAGCTCATGTGAGGTACTTTGTGGTTTAATGTGAGTCGATGCTTCTTCATTGATGAGATTAATTTTTTATTTTGCTTCTTTCACTCTTTTTTTTTTGTGTGAGTGTGTGTTCTGAATGTCTTAATTTATTTTAGCCTTTCCCGACTGTGTCCTAGTAGCACATGTGCTACTGTAAAGCACAGCACTCTTGTCATACCCAATGAGAGCTCTGGGAAACAGCCAAGAGGCATCAAAGCAATCACAGGCTTAGTGTCTTAATAACATAAGTGAAACTTTGCACCTCCAAAATATTGCTGCAATTTCTCTTTAATACTGTAGTGCAAGATAAAGTTAATGTAGGATCTAAATTCAATGTTAATGAAGCCCAATATTATAATTGGCAAGGAAACAGATAACTTAGAAATAGGTAAGACTTTACTACCTGACATGCACCATTCTCATAAGCAGTGGCATCTTGCCCAGCCACTGGAATATTCTTAAATAATGGCTTGGAACCTCTTTGGTGAACAAAATCATGATTCTAATAAATCTAATGAAATAGTCACTTCCAAGGTATATTTGCATAAGAATATTGGTTTGATTTAGAGTGGGGTTTGACATAGGGAAGCCAGAAAGGGGTTTTTACTGTGAATCTATTTTGGGCCTTAATGGAGTAAATTATTCTTGCTGCAACCAGCTGAACAGTGGGGGCTGAATCTGATATCCACTGGTTCCTGGACAACTTTATTTTCCTCTATAATATCTTAGATTGTTAATTCCATCAGTCTCAGTGAAAGCTGGGCTTTGCAGCCATAGATGATTCTTTTTTATGAAAAATAATTCCCAAAGCTATTTGCATTGGAGAAACCAGTGGAGAACCTTGGGAAGGGTTTTGAATAAAGACAAAAGGCAAACTGTCCATATGAAATATGAGAATATGGAATTTATTTCCCCCCTAGATTTATTTTCTTACCATTAACGAGTATAAATGTACATTTAATGTCTTGAAAAGGAATGTAATCGACCTGCTGGAGGAACTGGGAGCAATGTTGGCTCGGTGCAGTTGCATCTGTCAGGCAGCAGGAATGCTTCCAGGGGAACCTGCTTTCCAGACAGAGCTGTTTCAAATGGAAGTTATCAGCATATAATGTCAGATCAAATTCATCACAGGCAGGAGAAAAATAAAACATTGTGATCCAGGTGAAATTCAACCCAGTCTTTGATGGTTTTCAGATCTCTCTGGTGCTGTAGAATGGCAACACTAAATATCTCCCCAAGGAATGAATACCGAGTGTTCCACTTCTGGTGGAAGTTCAGCTGCTCCTCCCAACTTCTCTTTCAATTGATAAGATCACATTTCCATGGTGTTCTCCCCCAGGGAGCTCCAAGTGCTTCAAAAAGCCACCACTGGGCACCACCATCTCAGTTTTGCCGTGAACAAGGCCATGCGTGGGTTGGGATTTTATCCAGTGGGACAGCACTAAGAGTTTTCCATCATGTCCTAATGTTCAGTGTGGCCACTCCTGCTCCCTCCAGAGCTGTCTGACAGAGGTCATTGTACAAATGAGCATAAGTTTTGTAGAACTGATACTCTGCTTTCTAATGAAGTCCCATTCATTGAAATCCACTCCACAACACAAATACCAGGCTTTAGGAACACTTGAGGCTGTACAGTCATGGTTGGGCTTATTTAACCAGTTGTAACATGGTTAATGGTTGGTCACCTACCCCTGATTAAGTTTTACATGAAGTGCAGAAACACCTAATGTTTTAAATATAAACAGTGTTTTTCTAAGTGGCTCACAGAAGATCTGCCTCTTCTTTTTTTTGGCTAATTTTGAGCTCTGAAGTTTAGGTTGCAGATACTACAAAGAAATAGGAAACTACAGCAAAATCATATCTGTGTATGGGGAAAAGGTGTTTTGGGGCATTTTTTGTTATGTGTGTTGCACAAAGCAGGGATTGGGTAAGTCAACAGCTCCTTGAGCTGAGGGTTTCCCAGAGCAGCAGCCACGGAGTGGGGCGGAGATTCTCGCTGCCCTCTTGGAGCTGTGTTAGAAGTGCTCACGAAGTAGAAGGTCCATCAAATGACTTACAACTGGGCTCCACATATACTGGAAATGATGGAAAATGACAGAATGTTGGCATTCCTGATCATAAATAATAACTAATCAGCATTAAGTGTTGGCTGGCCTGTGTGGAACAAGGCACCTCTGCGTGGAATAAGAAACATTTGGCCTGGTAAAGGTTATGAAGATATTCCTAAAGCTTAATGTGCAGCAGGAGAAGGGAGTGTAATTAAATTTTTGATGGGAATAGACCTTTCCATAGCGATTCAGGACACGCTGTACATGTTAGTGGTTACCAGGAGCTGTGTAAGGCACTTGTTTGGATGCAGAAAGTGGCTGAAGGCTTTAAAAGGGTCATGATTACACCAAGCAAGGCGATAACAAACGCAATCAGAAGCCCTGCTCCAAAGAGCTTGCAGTCTTGGTCCTGCTGGGAAGAGCATGAACCCCAATCCCTTGTGCAAAGGTGGTGGGAATTCCCAAGGTGAGGATGCTGCTGCAGGCTGGGACCTGGTGCTTGAGTCACAGCTGAGACAGGGTGTGAGCGACGGGTCCAGCTGCGGGCAGGGGGGTGCTGTGCTTTGCCTCTGCAAAGAGAAAGGGCCCGTTTCACTGTCAGCATGGTTTCCACATTGCTCCCAGCTTCTCCTTCCACCTCTCCCTATAAAATCTCCTGCTTGGG